ACCAGGCATATGGCAGGCAGGGATGCTGGGGGGCCGGGAGGCTGGCAGGCCTCCCAGCCCCCAGTAGCTCTTCACTCTGGGCTCTCCGGCCTTCTCTCAGCTACTGCTTCTCCTGCTTTTCTCTCGGCTTCTCTTTTGGCTTCTACTGGCGTCCCCATGACGCCGCCCTTAAAAGCCCCGTCTCAGCCCAGGTGAATCCCATCTACATAGGCCCACACCCTACTCCAGGTGCCCGCCATCAGGCATGCATTCAGGACAAGGATCCATCATCTATCCTGATGGTGGGAGGGCAGAAAAGCCTGACACTTTTCCTTACCCTACACCTTTTTTTTAGGAGAGAGTAGAAATGTAATTATTGATGTAAAATCTTGATTTTCAAATGTTTAAAAAACTATGAACTACTTCCGCATGGAAGTAGTTTAAATAAATTGGAAGTCACAAACTAGGGCCCAGTAAATTTAGAATGAATGAATGGATGGATGATGAAGGATTAAAAAAAAACAAGATAAGGATTAAAAAAAGTTTCAAGGAACAAGATTTGAGGATTGGTGCACCAATTCTTCATTCCCTTCCAACAATCTAAAACTGCCTTAGAAAATTGTCCTAGATTTTATGCTTTCTGTAAAATGGAAATAATGAATTACAGATTGGTAAGACTAAGTTTGAGGGGCTAAGAAGGAAGTAGAATGAGCTAGACACAAAACTGCTGTAGAGTCAGTGATCCCATCTCTTAAAGACACAGGGACAGGGCATGGTGAAGCTAAAGGAGGCACTGACCAGGACCTGATCTCTGGGTAGGGCAGGATGGGTAATTAAAAATGGATGAAGTTGGGACAAGAGCAGCAGGGCCGCATTTGGAGGTTGTAGGGTAAATGAAGTGATCATATTTTTTTACACTCTCCTGCTGCTTGCATCAGTGCAGGGGCGCTGAAGGGTGTGGGGGTGGGGCACACACGCCTTTGATTATGGACACTAAGCCCAGAGAGCACAGGTGTGCGCAAATGTAAATGTTCACACCTGTGCTGAGAGGCCAGGGATAAAAGGGCGGAGTCACTCTGACACTACAGCTCAGAGAGGACCACTCTGAGGTGACACCACAAGACAACAGGAGAATGAGAATGCCAGAGAGAGACCAGAGACCAACTGAAAGACCTCAAAGATTTGCCAGGGACTAGGAGGGCTGCCAGCCTCCCAGTCCTCCTGCCTGGCCCACACCTGCTTCCTTGCATGCCAGCCCCCCTGCCTGGTGTGCCTGTACCTGGTTCCCTGAGAGCATTAAAGGCCTGTAAAATCCACTGAGGGCTCTGGGACTCTATCTGTCTGCCTGAATTGATAGTGAGGCTGCCTCGTACGTGGTGCACTAGAGAGGTGCATCCATTTCTGTTCCCATAACCTGATCTCACATGCAGCCCCTGAAGAAATGAATGCTGGGGGTTATTTACGTGCACATGGGTGTGGGGGTGGCATCATGCTTAGGCAGGAAAGAGCAGCAGCCAGTCTGCAATTCAGCACTGAAGGGATGTCCTAAGAGGCTTCACCCAGAAGGAAATGCTGTGAAAGCAACAAAAATGAGATTGGAAGCTTGGCGATCTCAGTGAGACTAAAGATCAGAAATGGGGTGACTGCATCCTCTTCTACATCCGAGCAGTGGTTTGCAGAGGGAAGTATTTCATTACTGATAATGTGGTGCATGGCAATTTTCAAAAGCAGATGGATGTCTAGTAGGTATTCTTGTCTTTAAAAAATTTTCTACAATGAACTCTCATTTTTGTTTGCATGTGGGCTGGACCGTTTTGACCTCCCACCCTCTAGAATCCCTGGAGATTTCCTGGGCCTCCTTGTGCCCCATCTGCCCTGTAGGGTAAGGTAAAAGGTATCAGGCTTTTCTGCCCTCCCGCCATTAGGATGGATGACGGAACCCTATGGTCCTGAATGCATGCCTGATGGCGGGCACCTGGAGTAAGCTGTGGGCATAGGTAGATGGGATTCACCTGGGCTGAGACTGCTTTTTTTTAAGGGCGGCATCGCAGGGATGCCAGTAGAAACTGAGAACAAACAGAAGCCGAGAGAGAAGAGAAAACACCGGAGAGCCCAGATAGAGTGAAGGCTTGCTGGGGGCTGGGAGGCCTGCCGTATAACTGGTAATCCCAATAAAGACCTGCAAAAAACCACTGAGGACTCTGACTCCTCATTTACCCGGTCTGCTGGATCCTAGAAAACCTGCTCAGTGGTCCTTCCTGCCCTTACATGCCCTAGTGAGCAAAGGTGCCCGGAGAAGGTTCACCTGGTGTGCATTAGCCTTGCATAGTCCCATTGTGTCTCAGTTCACCTGAAGAGCATCAGCCTTGTGAGCAGGCAGCTCAGATAAGCTCAACTACTTCTGGCATCCACACCATCACCCCAGAGAAGTACAAGTTCAGGGTGACAAATGGATGTGCAAATCACCACCCAGTCTGCTTGCTACAGAGTTGCTGCCGACGCTGCTGGCATTCTTTCTCACTAGCTACTGCACCATCACTTGTGTGGGGTAAACAAAGTGTCAGGCTTTTCTGCCCTCCTGCCATTAGGATTGGTGCTGGATCCTTGTGATCCTGAATGCATGCCTGGAGTAGGGTGTGGGCATGCATAAGTGGATTCACCTGGGCTAAGACTGTGCTTATAAGGGCGGCGTCACGGGGACGCCAGGAGAGAAGCAGAGCAGAGAAGCAGAAAGAGAGAGCAAAAGAGAAGCAGAGACTACCAGAGAATGCCAGAGAGCCCAGACAGAGTGGATACTTGCTGGGGGTTGGGGGGCCTGCCAGCCTCCGGGCCCCCCAGCACTCCTGCCTGCTGTGTACTGGGTAAATCCCAATAAAAGCCTTTAAAAGCCACCGAGGGCCCCAGGACTTCTCCTTTATCCCGTCTGCTCGGGTCATAGAAAACCTGCACTGTCCCTTCCTGCCTATTACAACCTGGCTCTGGGTGTGCTGTGACTTAATCTTCTCCAAAGAAGTGCCCTGGGCTGTGTGGGTGGGCACCCCACCCCTACCCTCAACTCCTTCCTGGGTTATGACTTAATAAATCATAGGTAGTGAATCCTTGTTTCTGCTTCTAAGTAGGCTGACTTAAGACCCTATGCCTCATTGAGATATTTACAGCTGTGGCCTATTTTTGACCTGTCCCAGGGCCTCTCTGTTCTTGTACCTGGCTCCCCACAGCAGCCCTGGCCATTAACTTCCAATTCTCTGCACAGTGGTTAGAATGAAGTTTCAAAACAGTAGGTACATCCGTGCTGTTTCTCTGTTTAAATCTTTTAGTGATGGCCCCAGGGTAAAAAATCTACATCTCCCAGCACAGCCCATGAGGCCCTTCATGGTACATCCGTGCTGTTTCTCTGTTTAAATCTTTTAGTGATGGCCCCAGGGTAAAAATCTACATCTCCCAGCACAGCCCATGAGGCCCTTCCCACTCAGCCCTCTCCCCATCTCCCGTGCCACAGCTCTGGCAACCCATGTCCAGTCACACAAGTGTTGTAAACAGGCCCCAAAGTGCCGTGCCGACTCCCATGTGTGACTCTGCCCAACCTACTGCCCTGCCTGAAACATCCCTACTCTATCCCCTTCTTTTGCCGACTGATTTCAAATCATCCTTCAAAACTCAGCTCTGACATGCTCTCCTCTAGGAAGTCTTCTCTGACACCCCATGCACTGCCCAGTGCCCCCCACTCACATTACACTGAGCTGGGGTAAGGAGCCTCCTTCAGAGTACACTGACTTTGAAATCAGGATATCATCATGCTATCAGGTCTTAATCAGCTCTGCATCCTCAGTACTTAACATTAAGCCTGGCATGTAACAGGCATTCAGCAAAGGCTTGTTGAATGAATGATGAGTAAAGAACCTACTCAAATGATCTTTGCACCCTCCAGGGTAGCCCAGGATTATTCGGGAACATTCCCAGTGAAAACCCACTCCATGCATACCCCCTGTCTTGACACCAGACTTTCTGGATTGAATTCAGCATAGGATGGGTTTGGGTAGTTGGTAAAAAGCCATTTAAGAATGTGCAAGTCTTGAGAAGTCACTGCCTACTGCCAGGATGTTTACAGGGGGAAAAAAAATTATAACTCATCTTAATAAACTGTTTGGTTGAAATTTTCATTCTGATTACAAATGAAGGGCATTATGTTCAGAACAGCTTGGGCAAAGCCTCCTGGGGTGTTTGTAGAATTGTGTTTTAAGAACTATGACTGATGTCTGCATTATAAAGTATATCATTTTCACAGTTTTATTAAACCATTGTTCTCAATTCATTGGCCTGGCTTAAGGTCCAAACAAAAAATAATTTGTGGCAGGAAGAGAAGGAAGAAAGAATGGAGGGAACAGGGAGAAGAAAGAAAGAATAAGCCAGGAAGTTAGCTGTTCCCTACCACTTGGATTTTGGTAAAAGTTACTATATATACCCATTTAGAGGAAATAGCTAGATTTGTCCTCAAAATGCAGAGAGTGAATCCTGCCAGGAGGAATTCACCTTTGTTAAATGCAGGATCATATAATCCTGAGGGCAGTAAACACAGGAAGGGCTGATGGTGAGGAGGGGAAAGCACTGGAAGAGAGTTCTGGCAGAATGTTTTGGTGTAAATCAATAGAGAATGGAAGAGCAAGGGGCCAAAAATATATGTCACCAAAAATGCAGCAGTCTGACATGAATGGGATATACAGGAATCCCCATGCGCTGCAAGGGGGTGTGTAAATGGGGGACCACCATTGTGGACAAAAATTTGGCACCTAGTTCCCCTGACCCTGTGCTAGGCTTGCAATTCCACTCGAGGTGTGTATCCTGGAGAAACTCCAGAACATGAGGGCCAGGCCAGGTTCCAGAACATGAGGGCCAGGCCAGGCTTAACAGCAGCACTGGCCACAGCAGAAAAACAAAAACAAAAGCTAAAACCTGTGGACAACCCAGCAGCACATTAGTAGTAGAGCAGACAGAAAATTATGGTAAATCTTTTGGTAACTTACCTTTCACCAAGGAGAACATTTGATAGATTTATAAATGAGGGAAAGTTCAGCGTATTCATAACAGGATAGGCATGGATGGGAACAAGCAAAGTGTCATCTCCCTAAAATTAATGGAAAAAAGTGAAATGTACTAAACTGAACACAATAATTTTCAAATACGAACTTGTAGATACCTTATTTCTTATCTTGTTTCCTATCATTAAAAAGTATTTCCTTAAGGAACCTGAGTGCTTAAGCACAACATCAGAAATATTAAGTTTTCCTAGCTATAAATAAAGTGTAGGAAATTTTCAGTACATTTCTCTGAAATTATATTCATTATTTTTCAGGCAAGGTCAAGATGCTGCTGGGTAGAAATAAAGACAGTAACCTACCTGCTTCTAGCTCAGAAAACTATAGGGAAACACTATAGTGGCTGGATAGAAAGAGAAACCAGTACAGAATCAGCTGATCCAGAAAACACTGAATAGTGGACAGTGAGCTGGCAAGAGGGCAGGGAGGCCATGCAGAGTGACCTTGAAAATGACCTACCTCTCCAAGCCTTGTTTCTTCCTTTGCAAGAATAATTCTGCTTTTCTATAAAGGTGTTTTAAAAATGTAAAGCAGATGATCAAAACTTTAAAAGATAAAAATTACCACATAAATGCCAGATGTTACTAGCATGCTGCAAAGCTGCAGGAAGTGTGCCTGACACTCTGCACAATGCCTGTCCCAGAAATTTTTCTTCTTGGTACAGAACATTTCTCCTGAAGGCAATATTCTGATTTTGTTTCTAGGTTTGTTTTTTAAATTTACACCTAACTGTTACCAAAGCATACTCCTCCATTTTGGTTTTGAACAATTAAATTTAGTTAACTTAAGTCTTTTCAATTTAAAGAGTCGGGTCTGGAATACAGAGCAAAGGGGAAAGGGGAGAGTTTTAAGAGGAGGGTGGGCAGCACTGGGAGTTGGCTCTGACTGGAGCCAGAGGATGAAGGAGGTGACCTTGAAAAGTCTCTAAAACTAACACAGCACAACCATCTTCAGCCCCATCGCAAGGCCCCCACCTCTCTGCTGAGCCCCAGCTCTAGCTCTGCGGACATTCCAACAGGAAACACCAGCCAGTCCCCAGTGTTTGTAATCACAACTCGGGTTGTTGCTTAAAGGAGTATATTTAAGTTATTTGAAAAAGATTTCAACTCCCAGCAACACACGGTAAGTGAGGTCTCTAGGCTGGGGCAGGTGAGAAGCCCGAGGCGAACAGCATCTTGTGGCTCTGCCCCATTCTTGTGAGCCTAATACCCTCCCAACTGGGACCCACGTTTCTGGACGAGGACCCTCCGAGCACTCAGACCCAAGGGTTGGACAGAGAAACTTCCGACTTGTGATTCCATCTTTATTTCTTCTTCTCTTGAGAACATAAGTTTTGACACTCCCTCCCCACTGTGAGGGACTTACCTTACAGTGAACACGGATGCAGTCATAGTAGTATCGCCATTCATCAGGAGAAAATATAATGGTGACCATGAGGGACAAGCCAGGGACGAGGTGGTGTTCCTGGAAGGCAAGAGAGCTTTTGTTGGGACATGGCACACAGAGAACAGGGCTGGTGACCCCACATCACACACCCACCCCAAGGCACAACCCAACAAGGAATACTATGGAAGACTAGACAAGCAGAGGGTGCTCACCTTTTTCACATACTTGATCTCAAAGTATTTGGTTTGTGGGGGTATAATATGAACATTGATGTCTTCATTGGATACATTGACCAGATGCTGGGAGAGAAAAAGAAGCATTTAGAGAAGAGAGTTTTATCTGTTTGCATATTGTCCCCTTTAGATCAAAGTAGCCGGTTATTTTACCAGTGACAACAAGTTGTTTATTTGGGAACAGCCAGAGGAAATGCAATTTGGGAAATACATGCTATGGCTGAGCACAGCAAGTGCAGAAAAATACTTTGAAAGAGGCGTACTTTTTTTTTTTAAAGATTTATTTATTTATGCAAACACTGGGGTATAGGCCAGACGCATGGGAGGCTAAGAGAATCCACCAGAGACAGAGTGGGGAGCAGAACAGGCAGAAGGACTCAAATACACTGCTGAGGGGAGCAGCGGGTGAGACAGGAGAGGTCTGCTGCGCCATGTGGGAATCTCCTTGGCAGGCCGGAATCGAACTGGCACCACGGAGGCTGCAGACAACAGCTTCACAGCGCTGCGCTGTGCTGTACCCGTTGTGCCACCGGGGAGGCCCCAAAAGAGGCTTACTTTTTTTTTTTTTTTAAGAAACAATTTTATTTTATTATTATTATTTTTTTTTCTTTTCTTTTCAAAAGAGGCTTACTTCTGTAGAGCAAAAGCAGGTGGAAGAGAGGACCTCTTCAGGTTTGGAAGTGGAAGGATTAACTCCTTCCTGTGGGGGCTGCAAATGAAGGTGAGGAGACAGGAAGGTCTGCAGTGCCAGTTCCTGAGAGCTCCCTCTGCAGGCCTTCCTGACTCCAATTTTTTTTAGGTAATTAATTTGCACAATATACATCTCCTGGTTTATTTATCTTTCATCTTGTTCCTGAAGAGATTTGGGGAGATATATTTTTAAAAGCTATAAACTCCATCACATCACACATCAATTTTAAAAATAATAAACATAACTGCCATTTAAAGAACAAAAAATAATAATCATAGCAAACACGATTTAAAGAACAATCAACTATGCCTCGGTGCCTCTGCCCAGCTTAAGGACTTTCTCAGAACCCTGCACACTACTGTGGAAATGGAGACTGGCCTAGCCCTATGCAAAACATATAGAGGGTCTTCAAAATATTGAAAATAGAACTATCATGTGATCAAGCGATTCCCCATCTAGGTGTCTATCTGAGGAGTATTAAAACATGAATTCAAAAGGTACATGCACCCTGTGTTCACTGCAGCCCTGCTTACAACAGCAAGAAACAACCCAAGTGCTTATCAGTGGACAGTGGACGACTGGATAAAGATGTGCATAAATCACACAATGGAAAATACTCCACTATAAAAAAAAAAGATAAAATTTTCCCATTTGTGATAACATGGGTGGGACCCAAGGGAAGGATGCTAAGTGAAAGACAAGTCCCAGGTGATTTCACATATATGCAGACTATAAAGAAAAACAAACAGACAAAACAAACCAAAACAAACCCGAGCCTTCTGACACCATGCTGAGGTAACAGGAGGAGGGGAGAGGATGGACGTGGAGAGGTGGACTATGGTGGAGGGTGATGGGCACTCTAGTGGTGGGTGTGGTGTGGCAACACACATTTGAGGAAATGCGAGCCTGTACTTCTAAAGCATTCAGGGTGTTGTAAACCGATGCTACCTTAATAAAAAATAAAAATGCGTATTCAGGAAAAGAGTACAGAAACAGAAAGAAAATGTATCCAGCTTTTCCTGAGATTTGATGTGAAACGGACACTTTTTTTTTTCCAAGACACATAAAATAGAATGTTTTATTTCCTAGTTGTCAATGGTTTCTAAAGAAAATTACCACCTGTGAGGTATACCCTTCACATACTTTCTATTCTTTTTTTATATTAATTTTAAAAATTTTTTACATCATTGTTCATTTTTAAACAATATTTGCTTCCCCACCCCCTCAGATGTAGTCCCCATAGAGTTTCCTTCCCCAAGGCACCCGTGCACCATCACCTCAGTCCCCTGTGCTCCTCCCTCCCTCCCTCTGATCCCTCTCCCTCCTCCTCCCCCGCAGGATGGCTCTCATTTATAATTGTCTGTTTTTGCTTTGTTGTGCATGAAATGGACACTTGTTAAGACTGAAGGGCTCCTTGGCAGATGGCAGAGGGCCAAGGCCTCAAAAAACAGTGGACACAGTGATGGTGGGGGAGAAAATCCTTCTTTTTACAAGGATGTTTAAATCAAATGTTTCCTAAGATAGTTTGAGACCACATATTTGCCAATGAACTTTTTTAACTAGCTTAAAACAACAAACCCTAACAAAGTAAAGCAAAAAAGGACAACTGGAGGTTCTATTAATTTTGCAGTTCTCAAGTTCTGATTGCAAATTTAGTACGTTTAGTAAAATCCTCTGAGCGTATGAAGACACAAAGGTCTGGCACTGCTCCCAGCACACGGGGCTGAGTGGACAGCTGGGCTTAGAACCCTGGTCCTCAGTTCTGGCCCAGGGCTCTGGTCCCCTGCTCCTGCACATCTCACCAGATCTCAGAGCCCAAAATGCATTTTCCATCTTTCTTGATATCCTTCATCAGCAGGTCAGTTTTACTTCTTAAGTTGGTAAAAAGTAATAGCCTTTCAGGACTAACATGGCATTCTGTCTGTCCATTTGTAATTAAAACTGGGGGAAAATAATTACTCAAAGGGGGTAGGGATGCCTTTAGATGAAAGAAGTATTTAGAAAGTGTATTTTAAACCAGTATTAAAAGCTTATTTGAAAACACAAGAAAAAAACAAATAATCCAGCATTGACTTAGAGGTGAGGAAAGATAAAATTATCTAAAATCCTGCCTTATCCACCAATTTTGGGGTCCATAGATGTCCCCAGTGCCCCAAGGTCTGTGTTCCTTGGGAACAGAGCTTCTCCTGGCTGAGTGGGTCATCATGACCTTCATGCTGACCCCACAGGGCACCAGGCTAACTCTGAACATGAAACTTAGGCCCTAAGCTTTTCAGAACTGACCTCACAGACACAACAAACAAACAAACAAAAAACCACCAACCACACACCCAAGTCCCCAAGGAGTCATCAATTTAATAGTTTTTACTCCAAATTTACAGGGATTTCCCAAGTACTGCTCATAGCTCTCTTCACCCCCCCACACCCCCCTACACCCCCACGCCCTACCCCTGTGTCCAGGTGCCCTCTCCTGTGTGCTCCCAGGAGAGCCTAGTCTTCTCCCTCCCCAGTGCAGAGCAAAGCCCACCTTCCAAAGAAGGGGTGACTTGGGATGAATAGGGGTTAAATTGCAGCTGCAAGCACTTATCACAGTATTTTCCAGAAGCATTTCAGCCTTCAAGTTCGTGACTTTTACCCCTTCCCTCAGTGGCACAGCTTCTCAGGGAAGGTTAGTATCTAACTCCAGGGAGCTGGAGACAAAGTTCAAGCGGGTTTGTAGTTTCTTTAGATTGTTTTATCTTAAAATGCAGGCTGGTTACACACTTTGCTCTACAATTTTGTTCCAAAATATCAGGATAAAATTGACGCTCTAGAAAGATGCTTTAAGCATATATGTCAACTGGCTACAACTCTCCCCACCCTGACACACCAAGGACAAGTTTTGAGATTCATGGATCCAATTTTGAGAATCAAAATCTTGGGAGGGTCTCTAAAGTCTGCAGTAGGGAATTGAAAGCTAGTACTGTTATTTCAGAAAGCTGAAGAACTGTTAATTTACAGAAGATAAGGTTGCACGGGCTCCCAACTGTGTTTGGGGTTGGCAACAGCAACACTGATTGTCTCATGGGCAAATTGATTAATTATTTACTTAATAAATGCAATTCCCCAGACAAGTCTTTCCACAGAGGGAAAAAGAATTGAAGAAAAAGGCCTTAATTTTGAGAAAACTGGAAACCATTATTTCAAGTTTTAAGGGAATCATAACATTGATTTCAATATGAATCCAAGTAAAATGCTTTAAATCCAAGTAAATCCTTTAACCAGATCCGGATCAAACTCAAATGTTAATGAATAATTTATTGTGGCTTAAAACACACAATCATTCCATTCTTGGGCAATGTGCATAGTTTCCTGTGGCAAAACCAAGATAAAAGCAGAGCTGGATTTTCTCATTGTTTGGCAAGAATCTCAAGGTAATTACATTAGGTATTTATTTAACTTTGCTGATGGAAACAGAAAGCTGGTTTTCTGAAGATCTCCGAGAATTTTACTACAATGAAATCATTTTGTACTTTTATCTATTTCTGTTTGTTTTAATGTCTAATAGAAGCAATGTGATTATTAAAACTTTACACAGCATTTGCTTAGAATTAGTGTATCTCCAATAAAATGAGCTCAGTGTCATTACAAATGTTTATTGAGTGTCTTCTGTGTGTTAGGCATTGTGCCCTACAAAGGACAACGATAGCCCTGTTCTTCAGCACAGTGAAGCTTTTACCTGCCTCCCAAAATCTTACCATGTAGGAAAACCAGGTTGTACACTGGTGTCCAAACATGTTGCATACATGCTTACCTGAACCTCTCTCAGTGTCTTCATCTATGCCCTGATAGCTTCTTCCTATTTCTCACTTTACTTTTGAACTATCCAAATGGCTTCTTCTCCATAAGCCTTTTTTTTTTTTCACATCATGACAATAAGCTCATGAAAAGATGCTCAACATGATTATCATTATGGAAATGCAAACAAAGCTACGGTGAGCTGAACAGAGACCTCAAAAAGAAATGTCCACATTTTCTATCTGGAACCTGTCAATGTGATCTTATTTGGAAAGAGGGTAGATGTTAAGTTGAGATGAGGTTAGGTTGAATTATCCAGATGAGCCCTAAATCCAATGACAAGTACTTTTAATAGGCATAAGAGAAGACAGTAAGAATCAGAGGAGAAGGCCATGTGAAGATGAGGCAGATATTGGAGTGATGCTGCCACAAGCCAAAGAACACCGGGAGTCACCAGAAGCTGGAAGAGACAATGAAGGATTCTCCCCAAGAGTTTTTGGATGGGCATGTCATGTTGATTTTGGACTCTGATCTCCAGAATTTCTGTTTTCTAAGACCATAGATTTGGGGGTAATTTATCAAGCCAGCCACAGAAACCAAATATACCATACAACCCTAAAACTCCACTCTATGACATATTTACAAGAGAACTGAAAATATATCTACCCAAAAACACGTATTTTAATGTTCACAGTAGCACTATGGAAAATGGAAAGCCCCAAAATGGAAAGCCACCACCCAATAAATGACTAAACTGTGGTATATCCATACAATGGAATATTACTTGGCCCAAAAAGGAATGATGTCTTGGTTCTTGGTGCATGTTGCAAGTTGACTGATCCTTGAAAGCATTAATGTTCAATGAAAGAAGCTAGTTATAGAAGATCACATGTTGTAGAAGTCCAGAATATATGCAATGTCCAGAACAGGCAAATCTATACCAATATAAAATAGATTAGTGATTGTCTAGGGTAGGAGTAAGATAAAGAGGAGAGTAAATTATTTATTATAAAAATGAATAGTCATGAATGACAATTATTTTAGGTATATCCTTTCATAATCTAGTTAGCAAATCTAATACTAAGAAAATTAAGCTCTAAAATGAATCATTAACCTTGGTTTTTGATGCTGTTATAAGAAATGAGTTCTTATAGGTCGATGGGGGAAGTTCCTAATCAGTCTTAAATCCCTTTTCCAGAGAGGAAGCGCTGGGCACCTAACAGGTTTCTCTCCTGATCTAGTCTCTCTGTAGCCACTTCAGTGCATAAGAAGTTGTGGAAGCTGCTTGCCCTGTGTACTGGGGACTGCCTGACAGAAACCTCACTTCACTCCCGGACATTCTTCCAGCTTCCTTTTCCCACAAGATTCTCCTCTGAGCTGTCTAACATGAGAGTTTAAATATCTTAAAATATTTATAAAATGGACATGTAGTATTACATTAGTTTCAGATATAGAACATAATGATTTGATACTGGAATACACTGTGAAATGATCACCACAGTAAGTCCAGCTAACATCTGTTACCATACATAGTCACAAAAATTTTTCTTGTGATAAAAACTTTGAAGATGTACTCTTCATAGCAACTTTAAAATAATACAATACAGCATTATTAACTACGGTCCATGCTGCATATGACATCCCTGTGACATACTTACTTTTATAGCTGACACTTTGTACTTTTAAACCCCTTCACCCATTTGCCCACTCCCCACCCTGCCTCTGATAACCACCAATCTGTTCCCTATATCCATGAGCTTGATTTTGTTTATTTGCTTAGATTCCACATGAAAGTGATACTATGTGGTATTTGTCTTTCTCTGAAATTATTTAGATGATAGATGGCTTCTAAGAATGCACTACATCTAGGGCCTCCCTGGTGGCACAGGTGGTTGAGCGCTGCATTGTGAAGCTGTCTGCAGCCTCTGCAGCACAGGTTTGATCCCCCGGCCAGCCAGGGAGCAACCCACATGGCTCAGCAGACCTCGCCTGTCTCGCCCGCTGCTCCCCTCAGCAGTGTATTTTGTCAGTCTTCCTGTTCTGTTTCCCGCTCTGTCTCTGGTGAATCCTCTCATCTGGCCTATACCCCAGTTCTTGTATAAATAAATAAACCTTTAAAAAAAAAAAAGACTGCACTACATCTAAAGGTAGATGCTTGTCATGGGTAAGGATAGGGGGAGAGCCTCAGGGAGCCCAGGAGGTGAGAGCCCACCTCGGGCCCACTCCATGCTCAGGTCAGTTTGGCCCAGAGCACTGCAGGAGTAGTTCTGAAATGTTCCACTCAGTGTTGCTTTAGGGGATCCTGGTGAAGTCACAGAGGTTGTAGAGCTGATTTAAATTTCAGGTTCCTGAAACCATAAAGCAAATAGAAGAAAACACATGCAGGAAGCCTTTAAAAAGGCTTTTTATGGAAAACCCATAAAAGAGAAGCAAAAGTAAAGATAAACAAGTGAGATGACATCAAAATATAAAATTCTGCACAGGGAAAGAAAGCATCACCAAAACAAAAAGGCAACCTTCAGAAAGAGAGAAAATATTTGCAAGTCATACATGCATCCAGGGTTATCCAAAACACATAAAGAACTCATACAACTCAGCAACAACGATAACAAAAAAGCAAAAAGCCCAATCAAACAATGGGCAGAAGACCTGAATAGACGTTTCTCCAAAGAAGACATAGAAATGGCCAACAGGCACATGAAAAGGTATTTATGAAAAGGTCATTTATCATCAAGGAAAGGCAAATCAAAACTGCAATGACATCTCAACCTGTGAGAATGGCTATTATCAAAAAGAAAAACAAGTGTTGGCAAGGATGTGGGGAAAAGGGAACCCTCATACACTGTTGCTGGGAATGTAACACTGTGTAACTACTATGGAAAGCAGAATGGCGAGTTCTAAACAAATTAAGAATAGAAATACCATATGATCCAGCTATTCCACTGGATAATTTTATAAAAACTGAGAAAACACTAGTACAAATAGATATATGCACCCCTATACTCACTGCAGCATTATTTACAACAATAATAAAATAAATCAACTTACGTGTTCAACAACAAATGGTTGGATAAAGAAGCCATGGTGTATATACATAATGGAATACTACTCAGATATAAAAAAAGATGACTTTTGGGTATTTGTGACAATAGGATGGACCTAGCGGTATTGGCTAAGTGAGAAATACAAAACTCTTTCACTCATATGTGAAATATAAATAAAGCAAATAGCCAAAAAAACCAAAATCAAAACAAAACAAAAAACTGAAGCTAACTCTTATATACAGAAAACAGACTGGAGATTACCCAAGGAGAAGGCGATTGAGGGAGGAGAGTGAAATGGATAAAAGGGGCAAGTGTGTAGTGATGGATAGAAACTAGATTTTAGGTGCTGATCAAACTATAGTGTTCACAGATGTAGAATTATAATGCTGAAATTTATACCTGAAACTCATATAATGCTACAAGCCATCCTTACCTCAATATAAACTTACAAAAATTAGAAATCCTTTTGTAAAATATTTTTTAGAACATAACTATGTAATTATGTTGTATTTTCACCTGCTAAGTACACAAACTTAAAAACTTCATATCCCTGTTAGCATGGGAGTTAAGAATGCTCTAGGGACCGAGGGTCGAGCCTAGTCAGAACATTCGGGTCATTGACAGGGACCCAGAAGGACTGAACTTTGAAGTGGTTCTGCAATGGGCTGCTGTCACTATTGGTGTCAGTCACTTTGCAGTCCCGCCTCTCATCTCTCTTCTGGAGCCAGCTCAATGGAGTTGACCCCTGCAGCCCAGACTTGGCCAGAATCTCTCAACCAGAATAACCAGTTTAGATGTGTACATCTGACCTGAGCAGTGAAACAAAACCCTTGCTGGAATCTCCTAGAAAACACACCCCCCTTTACCTGGTGGTGTAGGCCTGGGGCAAGCATGCACTGATTTGGAGAAAGGCAGTTTAAGAGTCAAGGTCTCAAATGCCCAAAATAGATGACTGGATCAAGAAGATGTGGTACATATACACCGTGGAATATTACTCAGCAATCAAAAAAGATAAACTCATGCCATTCGCAGCAACATGGATGGAGCTAGAAAGAATTATGCTCAGTGAAATAAGTCAGAAGGAAAAAGAAAAATATTGGATGGTTTCACTTATAGGAGGAATATAGGGGAACCAAATAAGACATCAGTATAAAAAATAACAATACAAAACAGAACAAAACAAAAACAAACAGACAATTATAAAGCAGAGACATCCTGCAGGGGAGGGGGAGGGAGAGAGACCAGAGGGAGGGAGAGAGGAGCACAGGGGGCTGAGGTGATGGTGCACGGATGCCTTGGGGAAGGAAACTCTACGGGGTCTACACCTGAGCGGAGGGAAAGCAAATATTGTTTAAAAACGAACAATGATGTAAAAAATTTTTAAAAAATTTAAAAAAGAGTCAAGTTCTGCCTCCATCACTTAATAGCTCTATGTTCTTGAGGTACTATAACATTCTGGAATCTTGGTTTCTTCATTCCTATAGTGAGGGTAATGTTACAACCTCCACAGAGCTGGAGAGCTGGGATAGGACTATAGTAAATCCTGTGAGACAAATCATAGCTGCTGGTCCCTAAGGATACCTGTTTGGGAAGGGTGCTGAGCAGGATCTTTGGCCAGGGTTGGGGGTGAGGGATGGGGAGTGTAAACTGGTCCAAGGACACAAAGGTAACTTAAAAATTTCTCAGCCTAGGAAGTCATCATGCTCAGCGAAATAAGCCAGAAAGAAAAATTTAGAAATTTTAGAAATTTAGGAATTTAGAAAACTTAAATAAGAGACTAGGGAAAAAACTAACTATAATAAAGTAAAAATCAAAATCAACAAGCAACTATAAACCAGAGACACACTACGGGTGGTGGGGAGAAGGGAGTAGGATCAAAACAAGGGGAGGGGGGTGGGAATTGTATGGGGACTATAACCAAGATGAAAATGCACACATTGTGCAAAAATGAAAAACTGATGTAAAAATATATAAAATTAAAAAAAAATAAAAAAAGGAAAAAAAAAAGAAGAAAAATTTTCAGCCTAGACCTCCCTTTGTGGTACAATTTATACCTGTACTTCTGCTGATAATGCTGCTTTTTAGATGAACGAGTATATAAAGGCAGAACATTCATGTCATTTCATTATTGTGATTAATTAGCCCACTTAAAAAGCACCTACCAGAATCTGTTGGTGTTGTTTTTCTACTTCATAGCCTCCAAAATGCAATATGCCAGGTTTTGCCTCTATGACCTTATTATTCTTGAGTTTTGCATAAACCTCTATAAAAACAATGTAGATAAGTACATTATGAGATGAGATGTCAACGAAAATATTAAATGCAGTAAGATCCTATTGACATGGGCTTTCTTTAATTTAGGATATTTTAAGCCTATGAAAGTTTCAGACAGAGGACAGAGCTGTCAACAAGATTAATCTGTTCCAAAGGGACTGTACTGCTTCTCCCTCTATCTTTACACATCACCCGGGAGATATTATCCTCACAAAACAAATCCACATGTATTGTTTATTACCTCTTAAAATAATTTGCTCCTCACATTTTGCAGAAGTCTTCATAATATAACTGGAGCTCGTTAAAGAGCCTGCACTATTTTTGCTCTAAATAACACTGCTATTACTTATTCTGCCATAACTATGAGGAATCCTAACACCAAGTGTCTAACTTTATTACAATGTATTTGGCTGTTATTATTTCCCTCGGATAGAATTACAATGTGATATAGCTTAAATCTTAAAGCTCTGAATAATTATCCCCTGAACAGTAAAGTCTTAAATAACTATTATAATGTGAACATCTTTTTTTTTTTTTTAGATTTGAGAACAAGTTTTAAATAGCCACAGAAGTGTCTAGGTCTACAAAACTTTGCCTAGTTCTTCATTTCAGGAGTTGAGATGTGCAGAGATGGTATTGAGAACCCCCTCCCTGCCATCAGGACTTTATGTGAGGCATTTGTTTGTAACACTATGAAGCTGGTATTATTCTCATTTTGCAGATGAGAAAGCTGAGACTCCACAAGGCTGAGATTGGACAACTTGCCCAAAGCTGGCAGTGAAAAATTAATCCCGGATCTGTCAAATTCAACCACTGAGCTGCCTTCCTCAATGTGAATGCACTGTCCAATTTCTTATAAATGATGACCTTTCACCCTTAGTTTATCCAAATCCTGTGAGCCACAAACACTCTCAACCCTTCCTCAGTGCACTGGGATTCTAATCCACATCTTAAGTGGGCAGCAAACATTGGGTGCTCAGCTCCTCCAATGACAGGTAAGTTGTCACTGTCATCAGCTTTGAGTCAAACTAAAGGGCTGGGATGGGGCAAGGATGGTGTTTCAGGAGGACTGATGATCTCTGTAGGCTATTTAGCATTTTTAAGTATACAATTGAACATTATTTGGTAATTTTTAAAGCCTTTGTTTTGTTTTAGGGCTACAAAATTGATATAAAGGGGGCAATTTTCTGTTGAGCCCAGAAACAGTCCAATATACAAATTTGTACTCAATAAATTCCATCAGTACAAAAAAAAAATACATCACAGCATGTGTCTGGCATACAGATGGGCTTTGGATGAGTGGGAAGCAACCTGCGTTGATACAAGGAGCTGGACTCTGGGCTGCAACAGCTGAGCACCAATATTCCACTTAGCTGGAGATCTTGGGGGATTCACTTGACCCCTCTGAGTGTCAGCCTCTCCAACAGTAAGTTGTAATAGGATACATCTCATTCTTTGTGCAAATTAAATGAGAATAACACAAGCAAAGTGATCAGGCTTGGACACAGATTTACCAGGCTTTTTAGCCTAAGGGATGTGCATGGTAAAGGCAAGGTGTAAAATGCACATGGTCTTGAAGGAGCAGGGGTAACAGGGCTGGAGCAGGGATGAGGGGAGCATAGCACTGGGAGGTGGTGGGTGGGCAGGGAGACATCAGCAGCAAAGCGGGCCAGATGACAGGTGAAGGAATTGGGACTTTGTTTTGTATGTGACGGGAACACCTGTGAATATTGGAGCAGTGCAAGGATAGAAGTCACCAGGATTCTAGAAACTGACTGGAATGTGAAGGGTGGTTGGGGGAGAGTGTGACCACAGACAAGAGCACTACAGCCATCCCTGTGACCTGCTATGGATGAGGAACAAGGTACTCAGGACAGATCCTCTGAAACACATTCAAGGTAGTGGAAGCAACTGAACTGGGTGACCAATTTACACCAAAGCCCCAAGTTAAATGAAAGGAATGAAACAGACTACTTTTCTTAACAATGATAACTACTATAGCCTGTAAAACAATATAGATAAGTCAACAACAAAAATTCCATTGTGCCTTCTAGGCTTTGGATCCTCTGGAAAGCAAATTGTAACCACTTACTTGATTCTAGGAGGTGATTAGGTACTTCTTTCCTTTTCTTGGGCTCCTCTACTAGGCTTTTCAAAAGGAGGGGTGATACATCATTAAATGGTTCTTCGGCTTTCTTTAGTTCTCTGCTGGGGGTTTTCACTGCTGCCATTTTATCATGAGAAATGGAGTCTTCATTTAGTGCCAAAGGTCATTTCCTGAGAAGAAAACAGTAGCAATATAACCATCCATGAGAAACCACACACATATTTTTTCCTCAGTCCTTGACAAATGTTCCTCTTGTCACAGCTGAGTTTACTATGGTTCGGGCCCTCTGTCTCTAGTCTCTTGTGGCTACTCCATTCCCACACAAGGCTGTCCCATTAATCTCCTTGTAATCTCACATCACTACCCAGTATCATGCCATTGCTCAGCACCCTTCCCTGGGCCTTAACCCTCTTCAAGAATTTTTCCAAAATGATTATAAATGAAAGGAGAAATCACAACAGACTCAGTAGAAATCAAAAGAATAATCAGAGATTATTATGAACACATATGCAAATAAATTCAACAACCTAGAAGAGATGGACAAATTCCTAGAACGATATAATCATCCAAGGCTGGACAAAGAAGAAACAGAACACCTAAACAGACCAATTACAAGCAGCAAAATTGAGGCAGTAATCAAAGCCTCTCCAAAAACAAAAGCCCAGGCCCAGATGGCTTCACAAATGAATTCAACCAAACATTCAGCAGTGAATTAGTGCCTCTCCTACACAAACTCTTTCAAAAAATTGAAAAAGAAGGAATACTACCAAATATGTTCTACAAAGCCAACATTACACTAATACCAAAATCAAACAAAGACAGCAAAAAAAAGAAATTACAGGCCAATCTCCCTAATGAACACAGATGCAAAAATCCTTAACAAAATCCTTGCCAACAGAATCCAACAATGCATCAAAGGGATAATACACCACGATCAAGTGGGATTCATCCCAGGGGCACAAGGACAGTTCAACATACGAAAATCAATCAGTGTAGTCCAACACATCAACAAAAAGAAAAATAAAAAACATATGATCATATCAATAGATGCTGAGAAAGCATTCGACAAAGTCTAACATCCATTTATGATAAAGGCCCTTGAAATTCTCAGGATAGAAGGAACATAACTACTGTGATAAAAGTCATATACGACAAACCCACTTCCAATATTATTCTCAATGGCGAAAAGCTGAAGACCTTTCCTTTAAGATCAGGAACAAGACAATGATGTCCTCTCTCACCACTGCTTTTCAATATAATACTGGAGGTCCTAGCCAGGGCAGTAAGACAAGAGAAAGACATCCAAGGAATCCAAATAGGGAAAGAAGAAGTAAAACTGTCACTATTTGCAGATGATGTGATAGTATACATAGAGAACCCTAAAAACTTCACAGAAAAACTACTCAAAATAATCAACCAGTTCTGTAAAGTAGCAGGATACAAATCAACATGCAAAAATCAGTAGCTTTCCTATACACAAACAATTACTCTGAGGAAAAAGAAATCAAGAAAACCATCCCTTTTATTATTGAAACAAAAAAAAAATCAAATACTTGGGAATAAACCTAACAAAAGAGGTGAAAGACTTATACAAAGAAAATTATAAAACACTGTAAAAGAAATAGAAGAAGACACAAAGAAATGGAAAGACATTCCCTGCTCATGGATTGGAAAAATTAACATTATTAAAATGTCCATCCAACCAAAAGCAATATACAGATTTAACGCTATTCTAATAAAAATCTCCATGACATGGGGGGTGGGAGGCGGGGAGGGGGGGGATTGGGGTCAAAATAAGGGTGTCGCAGTTGTATGGGGAATATAAAAATAAAAAAAATTTATATAAAAAATATAAAAAATAAAAACCTAACGTTTCCTCGCAAAAAAAAAAAAAAAATCTCCATGACATTCTTCAAAGAAATAGAACAAATACTGGTGAAATTCATATGGAAACACAAAAAACCACAAATAGCCAAAGCCCTACTGGTGAAAACAAAGGAGTAAGGAGGTATCACACTTCCAAACTTCAAGCTATACTACAAAGCCATAATAATTAAAACAGTTTGGTATTGGAACAAAAAAGACACACAGACCAATGGAACCAAATAGAGAACCCAGAAATAAAGGCACACTTATATGGACAACTGATCTTTGACAAAGGAGCAAAGAATATGCAATGGAATACGGACAGTTTGGTCAATCAATGGTGCTGGGAAAACTGGACCACCACAGGCAAAAAAATGAAACTAGACCACTACCTCTCACCATGAACAAAAATCAACTCAAAATGGATAAAAGAACTGACATAAGACCTGAAACCATAAAATATATAGAAGAAAATATAGGTAAAATACTGCAAGACACACATCGCAATAACATCTTTAAAGACTCATCACCCAAAGTAAAGAAAGTCAAAGAAAAGATAAATACCTGGGATTACATCAAACTGAAAAGCTTCTGCACAGCAAAAGAGACATTAACCAAAACAGAGAGACACCCCACGGATTGGGAAAAAAATCTTTGCACTCCAGTCAACTGATAAGGGACTGATCACAAAGATATACAAAGAACCCAAACAACTCAACAAAAACAAAATAAACAATCCAGTCAAGAAATGGGCAGAAGAACTTAAAAGACATTTCTCCAAAGAGGAAATGCAAATGGCCAACAGGCATATGAAAAAATGTTCAACATCCCTTTTAATCAGGGAAATGCAAATTAAAACCACATTGAGATACCACCTCACACCAGTAAGAATGTACACATATCAAAGAAACAAGCAACAACAAATGTTGGCGAGGATGCGGTGAAAAAGGAACTCTCCTGCATTGCTGGTGGGAGTGCAAACTTGTCCAGCCACTATGGAAAGCTGTCTGGAGGTTCCTCAGTCTACTAAAATGGAGCTACCATATGACCCGGCAATTCCACTACTAGGGATCTACCCAAAGGACACAGAAACAATGATTCAAAAGAGTACCTGCACCCCTATGTTTATTGCAGCACTATTTACAATAGGTAAAACCTGGAAACAACACAAATGCCCAAAAATAGATGACTGGATCAAGAAGATGTGGGGTATATACACAATGGAATATTATTCAGCTATCAAAAAAGATAAACTCATGCCATTCACAGCAACGTGGATGGAGCTAGAAGGAATTATGCTCAGTGAAATAAGCCAGAAGGAAAAAGAAAAATATTGGATGGTTTTACTTAAGCAGGAATATAGGGGAACCAGGTAAGACATCAGTGTGAAAAAATAGTAACAGTACAAAACACAACAAAGCAAAAACAGACAGTTATAAATGAGAGACAGCCTGCAGGGGAGGAGGCAGGAGAGGGATCAGAGGGAGGGAGGGAGGGAGGAGCACAGGGGACTAAGGTGATGGTGCACGGGGGCATTGGGGAAGGAAACTCTATGGGGACTACACCTGAGAGGGTGGGGGGAAGCAAATATTATTTAAAAATGAACAATGATGTAAAAAAATTAATATAAAAACATTTAATGGTGTAAATATAAGACACCATAAACAATGGGGAATTTTATATAATAATACTTAAATATTCTGTTAAAATATTTAAAAGTAAAGCATATTATAGGGTAAGAAAAAAGTATCAGTCTTTTCTGCCCTCCCACAATTAGGATAGATGAGGGAACCCTGTGGTCCTGAGTGCAGGCCTGATGGCGGCACCTGGAGTGGGTGCACCTGGACTGAGAGACTGAGTTTATAAGGACGGCGTCAGGGGGACACCAGCAGAAGCCAAGAACAAATGGAAGCAGAGAAGCAGAGAGAAGGCCGGAGAGCCCAGATAGAGTGAGGATTTGATGGGGGCTGGGAGGACTGCCAGCCTCCCGGCCCCCCAGCACCCCTGCCTGCCATGTACCCGCTGAACCCCAATAAAAACCTGCAAACCACCGAGGACTCTGACTCCTCCTTACCGGGTCTGCTGGATCAGAAAACCTGCTCAGTGTCCCTTCCGGACCCTACACCACATATACATGATTGTTTGAACACATATGTCCATTTAATACTAAATACAAAAAACTGTTAAGGAAAAAAAAAATAAAGCTGACATTCTCAAAAGAAAAAAAAAATTTTTTTCCAAAATGTAATGCTGACATGCTTCTTAAGCTGGTAGTAGAGGCACAGGAAGGGAGAAATAAAAGACTCACACGTGTATAAATTTGGAAAATGTTGAAGTACACAATTAAACAGGCCTCTTCTGAGACTTCTCCAAATCTGGCCATTAGGTGTGTGACTATGCAACCCTTTGTCATCTGGAGACCCATTTACTAGACACAGCATTTATAAGCCACATTTCAGGGGCTCTCCCCGAATCAGATGGATGAGGAGCTAGGGAAGCTATAAACCTCCTCCACCATCACTGGGGCCTTTCTTAAGAGTCCTGTCCTAGGACCTAGGGTCCCACTCTAGGTCCTAACCCTCAGGCCCTACACCTGCCTTCCCCAAACACTCCTTTTACACCCCCTTCTCCCCAAGTCCATATCATTAACATTCTTTACCAGTCACTGTCTCTGTTACTTATTTGGCATTGATAAGCTACTGCCTTGTACTGGCACTTGACAAATCCCACATCTCTTTATATCTCCACAGCTAAGACTCTAAACTTGGGGCTTCTGTATAGGCTGGGGGCCTGCTCTGGGAAGCCCTGAAATTGAATGTAAAATTATGTGTGGATCTTTATGTGTTTCATTCATTTGATTTTTTGGAGGAGGCTTTACAATCTCCCAGGGAATCCTTGGCATTAAGCATAATACTGTGACCACACTGAAGGAGCTTCATACTCCTTCTCAGAATGGGGTGTCTCCTTTCCCCTCACCTCCCATCCTTCACACTAGCTTTGGGTACAGTCCCCACTCAGCATAGGCCCCACCTGAGCTGCTTCATTCCTGTCCATCCCCTCAACACCTAATCAAGCTCATTCCCCAGCCCATTCTCTTCCCTCTCAGGGAACCTCAAATTCCGGCCTGTGCTGGAGGCAGGTGTAAAAGCCAAGCCACTTTCACTCACACACTCTTCTCCCTCTCACACACCCCAGGGCTGGTCCCTTCCTCCCACCCCCTAGGGGCGGTTCTTCCCAAACGCCTGCTCCCTCCCTAGCGGCCCCTCTCTTCCCCGCACCCCCTGAAGTAGGAGCACCCCACACATCCTCCCTTAGCCTTTCGCCCTACCTCTCCTGCGACCCGGCCCAGGCTGACTTGGGGGCTGGACACCCGCGCGGGGCTCACCCTGCCTGGGTGTGTCGGCGGCGGCCACGGGGCCCACCCCCGGCCTCAGGTCCCGGGGCCTAGGCCGCTCGCCCTGGAGGTGGCTCCCGAGGGCGTCGCCATGCCGACGCGACGCTTTCCCGGGCCCGCAGCCGGGCGCCACCACGCTCCCCCGGGCCGTGGGGGGAGCCGGCGGCCCGGGGCCCGGAGCGCGACTTCCAGCGATTTAGGAGGCGCAAGACCAGTGACCTCCTGGGGAGAAACAAAAAGTCGGGAGACTCAGCGAACTGGAAAGTGGCCGCAGAGTGGAGAGCCGGGGCCAGTCGGGAGGGCCCTCCCCGACAGGCTGTCCTTCCCGTGGGCATACTGTAATACAGTCTACTTGGCATTTTCTGCTCTGGTCAATAGTAGAAAAAGGAGTTTCTCCTTCCCCCTCACCTCCCAACCCTCACACTAGCCTTGGGGACATTCCCCACTCAGCATAGCCCCCACCTGAGCTGCCTCGTTTCAAACATATGCAGAGGTAGGAAGGATAGTGTGATGAATCTTAAACACCACTTGTAACAATTACAAAATCATGGGCAGCCATTCTTTTTTTAACTTTTCTTTCTCCTACTCTCTGTAGGAGAATTCTCTGAAGAGAATCCCAAACATTGCTTCATCCCAAACATTCATTGCTAAATGTTTCAAGAATATATCTTCAAGCCATACAGATTCTTTTTAAAAGCATAGCTGCAACACCAGTACCTGTTAAAAATGAGTTTTATCTTCAAAGTATCTAATATTCAATCGTCTCCTAATTATCATAGTTTTGTAGAGTTTTGTATCATAGTTTTGTAACCTATAATTAATTTACTTACAGAGTAGGTTGCTTCAGTACATTATTTTGCCATTTTGGATCAGAGTTCAACTAAAATTCATATATTGATATGTCTTCAGGTCTCTTTTAATCAATAGATTCTCCCTCCACATTTTCTTTTTCTTGTTGCAAGTTACTCATGGAAGAAACAGTTTCTATCCGTAATAATGATATTTAGAGATTATAAATCAGGAACCTGGGCCTGTTCCCCTGACCCCAGACTTCACCCTGCTCACCCATAGACATTATTCCTCACACAGGCCACTCAGCTTTCTTTGCTCTCAAGACCTGTCCTTGTCTTGCTCCCTCCTTATATGACTTGACACTTGCTTGATGTTATTTATGGCTTTATGCTGATAAGTGATGATAGTAGGAATCCAATGAAGATATTGCCTTTCCCACATTCACATCGCTTGTTGAGCTGTATGTGGCTTGGTTCCCACGCCGACCACACTGGAAATGTTCATTTTTTTTCTCATCCTCCCATTCTCGAATCCCTTGCTTCCCTTCCCTCCCCCAGTACTGTCATCATTACTGTTTAAAACTGTCTCCATCTTTCAAGGCTAGCACTGAAGATGTTGTATCTGGTTGGGGTGCAAAACAGATTATCCCCTACACATCCGGGTTCTTCTCAGGCTGGATGAATAATCAGAACAGCATCACAAGGTTAGCAAAGGAAAAACAACGCATTTAATAATATATGTATGGAGAATTCACATACTTGGAAATTCTAAAAAATAATGGAACAGAATAGGAATAATTATCTTGTGTTTTAAGACCTGGGGCAGCAAGGACAGAAAGCGGGTAACCTCATCCTTACTTTGAGAGTAAAGATGAGATTCTTAGATAAAGAGAACATGTTTACTGATAAACCTAGAACTGGGTGAGACACCCCCCCCCAAAAAAAAACTACATTCTTCTGGGAACAGTGATTGCTTCTTTGATTAGGGAAAGTGTAGAACCTTTGGACACTTATTTCTTCAATTAGGGAGGAAAGATATGGGCAAGAGCAGCAGCTTGTTTAAGCTTCAGGGCACTTACTGTTGTCAACCCAAAACAATCTGCATTCTGTAAGTAACTATGATAAACCTCCTGAGGGTTACAGGGCACTGACATCTAGTCCTTGTACCAAAGTAACAAAAAGCCACCGTGGGCTATTGAGAAAAGTCTATCTAACCTTTTTGGATGGGAGCAGGGAGGGGGAACTGAACCTTTAATTCCTTCTGCTTTCTCATAAGCCTCCAGGCTAGAAGGACTTTCTCCTCCTCTGGGATTTTACATAGTTGTTCCACTGTCTTTTGGTGCTTCTCTATTTATGTGCTTCTCTATTTATGTACCATCATTACTTGTGTCTTGAACTGCAGAATTCTTAGGGGAAGGAGATTGAACATTATTGTACTTGTATAATATAGCCCTTGTCACAGTTCTTTGTTCATAATTAACTATTGGCCATGTGGAAGGAAAATTAATTTACTTACATAGTAGGTTGCTTTGGTACATTATTTTGTTTCCCCAACAAAGTTATAAATTTCAGAACAGGTACTCTGCTCCCCAGAGTCCCAGACCTTCCCACCTTAACTCAAATTGTTGTAGAGCAACCCGATACAAAACGGGGTGCCTGATTGTGGGTCCTCACCCGCGCTCAAAAGGACTTATCAATGCTCTACTGCAGGCACACGCAAAAGGTTAATAAAAGGTTTATTTACAAGGGAAGGGAAATGAGGAAATGTACAGCTCAGGGAGAAAAGTGGGAGACAAAGTTTTAAATGAGTCCTACCCGATCTGCCGATCAGGAATCCCAAAATGGCGCTCTGAGAGCTGGCTGCAAGCGAGGAGCTGTGTAGCCAGGAGGCCAGTGACAGCGAGCCACCCCAAGGCCCACGTGTTTGGTTTTTATATCCAACCTGGCTGCCCAACTCCACCCTCAGGTCCCAGCCACCCTCCCTTTGGTGGTGATGGGATTTGTCTTTCCCAATGTCTTGATGGCTTTAGTCTGGAGTGGGGGTGGGGTCCACAAAGCCTGTATGGGATTAACTCAGGACATCATTTCCCCCTAACAATATCACCAAATGCTTATTTTCATATACTTTCTAGTAGGCATTAGTTAATACTTTTATGTTTGTACTTAATTGTTTTTCCTAGAAAAATTGCCAATTTTCCTATCTAGAAAGGTAGATATGTAGATATAACATATAAGTCTCTGTACAATTTACCAAATAGCATATTATTGTGCAGTAGACACTACCACCTCCACTGTCTTACAAGCAGAATGCCAAGTTTTTATAGGTCAACCTCAGGAGAAAGAGGATGGCCAAGGTTGTGGGTCTTCACTGGGCACTTAAGAATTTGAGTCAAGGGCCTCCCTGGTGGTGCAGCAGTTGAGCGCTGGGTTGCGAAGCTGCCCCCAGCCTCTGCAGCGCTGGTTCGATCCCCGGCTGCTCTCCGGCCACCGGAGGAGGGTCCCAAATGGCGCGCAGACCTCTCCTGCCGCCCGCTGCTCCCCTCAGCAGTGTACTTCGTCCTTCTGCCTGCTCTGCTCCCCGCTCTGGCTCTGGTGAATTCTCTCACCCTCCCGTGCTTCTGACTGTACCCAGTGCTTGTATAAATAAATAAATAAAAATAAATAAATCTTAAAAAAAAAAAAAGAATTTGAGACAAGATCTAAAAGCAGGCTTGAAGAGAGAATTTTTTTTAAGGTTTATTTACGAGTGGAATAAGAATAGAGAAGAGGAGAGAGAGGAGGGAAGGAGAAGGAAGGGGTTGTTTATTGTCCAGCATGCACCTGGATGTTGTCTGTCCTGCCAGAAGTACCAACTGAGGGTTCAAGTTGAAGCTTAAAAAGCATGAGGGGGTGAAGTTCACCTGTCTTCAGTCTTTTAAGGTCAACATGGTCACTCAGTTCTACACCTAGATTCCAACAGCCGCCTCCCCCATTTAGAAAGCCAAGTTCATAGCATTCTGGAGTTATAGTCCTTAGTGCCTGACATCTCATCAGCATGGAGATGGGAGTGGAATCCAGAAAGATGTCAGGGGTAGAGTCTATTCATGGCATCATTCATGGGCTCAGAATTTACTCCTTATTGTATCTCTAACAATTTCCACCCTTTCAATTTTTGTCAACATTTCTTTGGTGATGTAAATCAAATGTGTGGTTGCTGAGGTGTGGCCTCAGATGACACTTTCTTCAGGGTTACAGTATATTCAAAGGAAATAGCCGTCAATCACTAGGCATTATTCATGCATAGCCAGTATGGCAAAGTTCTCCATTTCTAGAAAATAGTCAATCCATTCAAGGAAAAAAAAAAAAAATAAAAGCAAGAGATGCTAATAAATAGCAAGCAGATATCAGAAAAGCTCAGAGGAAAAAACATGAAAAATGTCTCAAATTTGGTTAAGAGAGGCTACATTTCTCTCCACCTTCACCCCAAATCGATTAAATGCTATAACAAAATATTTTTGTAAACTAAATCTAATTTTAATTATTTTTTTGTGTTTTTGCATAAATTTACAGGGCAGAATAGCCAAACAGAATTTTTGTTAGCTTTCTTGGGATTTTCCACAGGGTATCTTAGATGGAGTTCTCAACATCTGGCCTGCATAGGTTTCGGGTGCCAGGACACAGTAAGGCCTTGCTGTACTGTATCTGAAATAGCTGTACCTTTTGGTCAATTTTCTCTTCACAAGTTTCCCAAGGCTTTCTTCTGATCTCCAGGCCTTCCAAGGGAGGTAAATTTCCCTGTGATCCTCGGAGGTCTCTGAAACCCTCTAGACAATGTCTTGGGCTCTTTCCTTCTTGGCTTTGCTCAAATTCAGCTCCCAAAAGACACTCCAGTCAAAGCCTTGGTAATGAACCACATTTCCAATTCTCTGTTTTGAGTACAAATAAAATTCCTTACTGAAATTATGCAAAGGTAAACACATTGCCATAAGGAATAAGTACACTTGTTACTATGTTCCCATAATATGACGGCATCAAAAAAAACAAAACAAAACAAAAAAAACAACGCACAAATTGGTTCTGCTTCCTTGTGAGGATGAACCCTAGTTTTCTGAGGCTAAATTCTTTTCACCATTGCTTAATGGGAAGGCAGTTTTACTCACACTGAAGTAACCAGACTGTGTGTTCACCAGAACTATATATTTATCTGCATAAACAGTCTGAAAAGAGACAAAAAAGGGGGGGGGGAATCATAAGCCTGTATTTTATAAATAAATATATATGCATATACAC